CCATACCTCCATCCTGAGGCTTGTTGCAAAGGATGGCATAGAAATGTTTAAATTATTAAATTAAATTAAAATGTTGCTAGTAGCTGGTAAATCCACCAATTTTGTAGGAAAGCCTATATACTAAAAGGCAAATGTATATCCACAGTTGTTGCATCAGAACTGTAGCTTAGGAATGTATTTGTATCATACCCTTATCTTAGTTTTAGAAGTGTATTCAGTTAGTTATGGCCTTGAGAGCTGAACCTAGTTCACTCCCTGAATGCTTTAATTTTTAGGGTTGAAACGAGTAGACTCCCTGAATGCCTTTACTTCTGGAGTTACAGATGTGCCAGCCAAGGTTAGGTTAGAGAAAGCTATACTATGTTAGACAAGGACTAGGCAGAACAGGCAAGTAGATAACAGACTGTGGAGCTTGCTGATTGGTTGTTTAGACTGCATGCCCTTGGGAGATAAATTTCATGGACTGTAATTGTACAGGGGTGGGGGTGTGATGGTGGTGAAGCTTCTCTTTGGCATGAGCCAGGGCTTTCACCCTTGCCACAGCCTGCTTTTTAGTAAAGCCTCTTGGCCCAAAGAGCTGCTGTTGTCCGGGCTTTCTTTTGCATCTCCTCAGAGACAGCTGAAATTGGGAAATCAGTCTTCTCAGGAAAAACAAAGAATTGAGTGAATATTTTCACAACAGAGTTGGAAAACTTTATGTGGGTATGTAACATAGAATAGCATGAGGTATCTTTAGTCTACATAGTGAGCTGTGGAACATGAATAACTTGCTGCATAGAGATTCCTGCTCTATGTAATATAAGCAGTTATTTCCTGTGTATCATTCCCAAAATAACAACTCCATGATGAACTTACAAAACACTTCAGAATAACAAGAGTTATTCATTAATGTCTCAAATACAAGAATGACTAGTCTCTAAAACCAGGAGCTTGCCCTGTTCATACCTACTAAAATTTCCTTTCAGAGCTCACAGAGAAAATAGTTGTATTCTTCTCTGAGGAACTAAAGATGTAGATTACAGTGATGCACCAAGAAATAGAAGCTATTGAAACAGTACCTACTTCTGGAGAAACAAATCAGAGAATGAGGTAGAAGAAATGAAATTTCTTAATGGAGAACCAATTTTAATCTCCCTATACACTTCCAGTAAATGCACTGCTTCCAAACAGTTCTTCCCGACATTGGTTTCTATTTTCCTATCAATCTTCAGTAGCTCTCCTAGAAGAATATGTCCATGTTCTTGGTCCTTATAAACATTGTAGTTTTTGTATAGTGTGGTGAAACTGAGCAGAATCCCAGAATTTCAGACTAGGCTTTGTTCACCTATAATTTTTTCTAGTAGCAAGTGAAGCTCAGTTTTCTAATTCTACCAAGCATGGGTGAGAACCCCCTACTGCACATTTAAATGCTTCAAGAAGGATAATTATGAAATGGGAAACATTGAGTGTTTATTGCTGTGCGTTTTAAAGATTCAGTCTCTCCTTTCCCCCTTATTATCAGTGTTGTATTTTAACCTTTTCCTACTCAAGGACCATGAAGGTGGTGGCTTTTATAGGGTAGGAGTGTTGAGCAAAGCATGCACCTGCGTTTGCAGTGATTCCTTAGCTTCAGACATAACACTGGTGCCAACTTTGTTTCCCTTTTGCTACCAATGGTTTTAAAAAAGTGAGCACATTACTTGGTGGAAAATATCAAATGTTTTCCCTGCTGGTCTCCAGAATTAAAATACTGTTTGTCCCAGGGTTACCAAATTAATGGACCCTTGGTGTGAACAGATGAGAGGTTATCACTTGTGCAAATAACTTTCTGGATATAATTTACCCTAAACAGGAGAAACCTGTTTATTGTAGCAGGACTTTAGCTGATACTTCTTTAACATGAACTGAAATGATGCAAGAAATATACTGCATTACTAAGCTATTAAGAATACAGCTACCAAGTCCATACATGCTCTTACTACATGTGATAGCCATCTGTAAGCTATAATCAAATCTGAACCACTCTTTCATGTGATAACATATCCCACAACCATTACACCCTTGTATTATTAGTAGTGGCACTTATAATCGGTTATATATTGAATTTAACAGTGCACACCAAGTTTGGTCTGGATCCTTAAAAAAAATCTTACATCCTTTGCTCTACATCCTGATAAGATGCTTTTAGGAAAAAAGGTGAACTGCCATGCAATTCCAGAACTATAATAACTGTGTCAAATCAGATACATAATAATAAATTGGTTCAGCTTAGAAGCAAGTCTTCACCAAACTTGCCTAGTCCATTAATACACTTCACAAGATCAAAACTGGGGCACTTCTAACATAAAATATATTCCTAAAGTGTATTTCACAGATCTACAGCTCATTGCATTTGACTCATTCAGCTTCTGCAGCTACCCTAAGCAAGGCATTCATTGCTTAAAGTGTTTCTAATAAAACCAGCACAGCTGAAAGCTAAAGGGACAATTAACCAAAATACATGTCCCATTAATCTCACCGATTGTAATTAATGTGTACTTAATTCTCTTTCATTGGAATCAAAGGGAGTCACAAGTTTATAACTTTAGCTGGCCTCAACCTTAAATTAGAACAGGTAAAAAACAATCTCTCTCCCCTTATGCATTGTCACTTTAGCAACAATCCTCTTTTCCTGCTAGAGAAACAGAATCACATGCTTTTGAAATGTGATGAAAAAACATTTTGTTCTTCAGCTCCATTAAGTAGTATGATTGAACTGCTAGGTGTGCAGCTCCTAGATAAGTGGGTTGTCATTAGTAACAACTCCTTCCTTGTGTACTAAAGTGGTGCACAAAACTTTGCGGAAAATAGTACTAGAGAATCAATTTAAATTCTTGACTTTCATATCGCCAAAGTAGTAGAACACATTCCTGCTACTCTAGAGTGTCTGAAGTAGGAAGTGCATATATTAAAGTGTAAATAAGAACACTAAAAATTCAGCAAGCTTATTAACCTAAGGAAAGGGTTAACAGCAGTTTCAAAACAGTTCTATTTTAGTAATAGGAAATAGGAACAGAACAGAGAAATGGTGGATTCATTTTACCGGGAATGCTCAACTCTCATGTTCTTCTGATGCACAATGGGAAGTTTCCATTATGTGCACAGACAGTCTGATGGCAGCATATTTGCATGCAACATTTAGTATATGTATTAAACACACACAGAGTACAAAGCTGACTGACAAATGTTGGAAACTGTAGGACTTTTTCTGTCTAAAAATGCATACGACTGCATCCAAGGGTGCAATCCTATGCATCGTTAAGAATAAGAACCTGTAGGATTTTAAAAACATGCATAGGATTATACCCTAAGGGTTTTCATTATTTTATTATTTTTAATAAAGAAAGCTTTGATTTTCTTAAAAGAGTGTTTTCACATATGACTCAGAATGTGCTTTTTGCATTTTCCATTCTGTTATGCTATAGAGCCTAGAGTACCGGGAATTCAATTCTGGAATGGTTCTTTTCTACAGTATTTCCCACATTACCAGCATTCCTACACAAACAACGAAAAGGAGCATCAAAGACTCTTTTCAAGTCACCCATTAAACATATTTGGCATAGTCAATGCAAAGAATACCAGTGCTGTGCCTTGGTATAACATTGTTTTCTCTTTGTTATTTAGTAATTGTTTCATCGCTTTGGGGAGGGGGAAAGGAAAGATACTCACAACATTGTAAAAAAAAAAAAAAAGTACTTGTTTCCTAATTAAACACAACCTCTATGTATAACTTCCAAGATGCAGATCCACTGTACTTCGTGGGCCATCCACCAAGCAAAGACATTTAGGGTTTAGTTCTATGCATGTTTAGGCAGCAGGACTAGCTGGGGAATCCTGTGAGTTGGAGGAGTAAACACGCAGCTGGGCTGCATGACCAGTGAAGACCGTTTCTTGGTGCGATACTACAGCTAACTCATTTTCTTTTGCCAAAATACCCAGGCACCTCCTTCTGCTCTAGGATAGAGAAGCAGCTGCATGCCAGGACCCCTCCCACATTGATTTTTATTATCAACCCACACACCAAATGAAATCTCCAACTTATCTTCAACTTTAGTGAGATAGAGAGAGAACCTAGCCAGCCTTGCCTAGTTCAAACATTGGCTGCTTTGCACTGAACAAACCACTTGGCTACAGCACCAGAGTTTCTACAGTTCTGGACACCTCTCATTTGGAGAGATATAAAGCATTTCCTTTTAAAATACAATTAACCCAAGATCAGAATGCTTTAAAGAGTTTAAGGCACAAAGTTTTATCTGCTGTGACAAAATAACTTTGTTACCCTTTAAGGCCCCTTGTTTTTCTTTCTGCGACTATGGCTTCATTCCACTTGATTCACCACAGTCCGTTTTGGGAAATTGAAAGCCTTTCATGGTGGGTAAACTACACTCGCGTCAAACTGATATAGCCACCGCAAAAGCAAAGGCGAGCAGTAGATAAATCATCCTGCTTCCAAGGAGCAATTGGTTTTTGGAGGCAAGCGAGACTGACCATTTTTCCTATTATAAATGTAAATGCTTCATTAAAAACACACAGCCAATCAGAAACGGAAGGGGTGCTTGCTTCACAGGGTGCGCCAAGGCTACCACATAATGGTTCGCTATCTGGCTGGTAACCTCGAACACGCAAACCCTAAGCGATCTAGGCTCACACGAGCGACCAGGGAAGGGCCCCTTCATGAGCGGCCCAGCGCAAAGGTCAAACTCTCGGCACGGACGGAGCGTCGCTCCGCACGAGCCGTCCAGCGCTGCCCAGCGAGTCGCGATCTCGGCCGATGAAGCGGCGCAAACCGCACCGCCCAACGCCGCGCGACGGCGGCGGAAGCTAGCGCGCGGCGTAAAGCAGGCGCTGGCGCAGCCCCAAGGGACGCCGCTTGCCACGCAGCCAGGGTGGAGCTGCCTGCGAAGCCGAGCCGGGTGGGCACGGAGCGAAGCCGCTTCGCCTTCACTGCCCACCAAGGGTGAGGAGGGAACGCCGCTTCTTACCTGGCCGGCACAACAGGGCGCGGACATGCTTGCCACGGACGGCGCCCACCGGGCTCGCCCGCCGCGCAGCCCCCTCTCAGCACCTGCCCCCACGCTCCGGCGGCGGCCTCGTGCGCAGCGCGCCCAGGCGCGGGGCAGCTGGAGCGGCTCCCTCCCTCGCCGAGCCGAGGCGAGCCTTCAGCTCCGTATCCCGGACGCGCCGAGCGCGCGCGCCGTGCCCAAGGCGCAGGATGTGCGGGTGAGCGCGCGCGCGTTCACGGCCGCACGAGCGCCGCGGCTCTCCGGAGGGTCTGCCTTTATTATTCTCCTCGCCTCCGCGAGCCGTCTACTGAGCCGTGGAGAAGCCGCGCACAGCCCGGAGCCGCGTATGCTTCCGCTGTCGTCAGTGTGGCTTCGAAGGAGATAAATGGCTTTCCGGTGCAGGAGAGTGGGAATCACCCGCCCTACGAGGAGGGATGGGAAGCGAGGAAAACGGTGGGCAAACCCAGAAACGGACGGGGCGGAGCGACCACCTGTCTTGGTTCTCACGCTCGGCCTCTCAGAAAAACGCAGCGCCAGGGCGGCTGGCCGTGGGACTCCCCAGGGGCAGGGAAGAGCCGGGGACGCGGAGGCGCGTGCTTCCGAGGCGCCGGCTGCGGGCGGGGGAGGCAGGCATCCAGGTGTGGCTTGGCCTTCCACCCTACCCTTCACTGCTCCAGGGAATTGGTGTTTGATGCCCATTCATGCGTTACTTTTTCTTTTACACCCAAGGAGCAGTTCTGCAGGCTGAGGGGTCCATCAGAATCAAGCTTTCCCTTTCCCATGCTGGCTAACTCGGTACCCAATGCTTTTCAAGTCCTCAGTTGGTAAGTCGAGGCATGCCAGCATTGTGACAGCCCGGGAGATACTAATTAGAGTTAGTGGCTGCTATTATCCACATTCTTGGCCCTCCAGATATTTTGAACACCTATCAGACCCAACCAATATGCCCAATTGTCAGAAATACTGGGAGTTGAGTCTAGAACATCCTACGGGCCTCAGACTGAGCAAGGGTGATCCAAAAGAGCTATCCCACAACAGTTTATTCAATTCTATTGCAATCCTGTGGGTCCATCAACACAGCTTGTGGTAATACATTTCAGATATGTAAATCTCATAAGCATGCCAAAAATTGTGATGTGAATCACAACCATCCAAAAGTGTCCTGCTAATGGAACAAACTCCACTAGCAGCTTGAGTTTTCCCTTTCTCCTGCACCTCCAAATCTTCTCCAAAGGGTTGAGGGTCCTTCTAGACTAGACTTGGGGGAGACGGGGAAGGGAAACTCTTGCTGTGTGAATGGCAATGCTGGATTTAACTCCAGGTAATAATGAGTCTTCCTGGCAAATAGATGGAGAAGAAATGGAGGTAGTGACAGATTTTATTTTCCAGGGCTCCAAGATCACTGCAGACAAGGACTGCAGACAAGAAATTAAAAGACGCTTGCTCCTGGGGAGGAAAGCTATGGCAAATCTAGACAGCATACTAAAAAACAGAGACATTACCCTGCCAACAAAAGTGCATATGGTCAAGACTATGGTTTTCGCAGTTGCAATGTATGAACGTTGGACCATAAGGAAAGCTGAGCGCCGAAGAATTGAGGCCTTTGAACTGTGGTGCTGGAGAAGACTCCTGCAAGTCCCTTGGAAGGTGATCAAACCGGTCAGTCCTAGAGGAGATCAACCCTGACTGCTCTTTAGAAGGCCAGATACTGAAGATGAAATTCAAATACTTTGGCTACCTAATGAGAAGGAAGGAGTCCCTGGAGAAGAGCCTAATGCTGGGAACAGTTGAGGGCAAAAGAAGAAGGGGATGGCAGAGAATGAGAGGGCTAGATGGAGTCAGTGAAGCAGACCGCGTGAGCTTAAGCGGACTCTGGGGGATGGTGGAGGACAGGAAGGCCTGGAGGAATGCTGTCCATGGGGTCATGATGGGTCGGACATGACTTTGCAACTAACAACAATAATGAATCTTGGAAGTAGCTATCTGCCTTTGTAGCAGGAAAGAATATGCTACTGCAAACTGGAGAAATTGGTACTAAGGAGCCTAAATTCTAGCTTTTTAAAATCTGAACTTCAAACTAACCAAGTCAGGATAGTGCACATGGCATTTTCTCAATTTATCCTCTCAAGTCTATGAGGTGGGCTTGGCTTATACTGCCACGCCAACAAACATTTCTCAGACACTAAGAAAAGTGTGGACCATTATGTAGCAAAACTCTCAAGTTGAGATAATGATCTGCTATCACTTACTAAATGGAAGTAAAGTGTCAAAAGCAAACAGTACTTTTTACCTTGGCAATGGAAGTCGGTGTACCTTTTCAGAAAATAAAGTTTAGGTAATAGCAGAATATATAGAGTTGCTTTCTGGTAGAAACTGAGCCCTATCCATCCTTTCCTTTGTCCCTTCTACCGCCTAAGACTCATTTGAAATAGGCCAACTGATCCCCAGATACAGAGAACACTGTACTTTTCAATTTACAACTGGGAACTGGAAATATAACCTTTGTAGAAACAGCTTTGGCATCTTCTCTAAGATACATTCACTCCCCATCCCACAATGAATGCAGTACTCCAGTTAGTGACTAATCAACAGTATCTTCCCCTTGCCCAGTCCAGCCCATTCCCCACCAGCAGCCTTGAGTGCTTCCAATAATAGGCTTTGAAGAAAACCATTTTTTTGTGCCATAGCACCACACTGATGAGTCTTGTTCTTTTGGAACCTGCTATATTATTTTTGTGGTCTAGGAGCACTCCTCTCTACTCCTCATAAGTGGACCCCTGGATAAGTACTAATCAAGCAATTTGCCTTCATAACAACCCTTGGAATGCAGAACCTACTCCCAATTTTACAGATATAAAACAAAAATAGGGAGAAAAACCTTGCTCTTATTCACCTAAACTGAACACAGATCAGAGAACACCTTTTTTTGTCTTTTTACGTTACAACCTGGCATCCAGGGTAGAAGGAAGGAGAAATCAAAGAGACATTATGTCACTTTTCATACTTGCATACACTGAAAATTTTCCATGTTACTAAACCTCTAACAAAATACACTAGCACACATAACTGGGATTAAATTAGTATGCATATTAGCCTCCCCTCTGCCTAACACATATACTGAGGAAACAAAGATTAATCTATATGCAGGTTTTCCACTTCTGTACTGGGAGATTGTGTACAACTTCCCATGTCCCTAGGGTATTGCTAATATAAGATTTCATTCATCAGTACTGTATGCAGAATTTTGTGTTCCTTGTTTAGGACACATTATTAAACATGGAGACATTTTAAACACATTTTCCTTTTTTTAAAGCTGTAATAAAAATACATGGTTTTAAAGTCAGAATACTACATACATTTTATATACATTTACACATTTAGTTTTCATCCATATTCAGCTGATTTGAGTTCTCACATTTGGTCTTTTCAGACTTCACAGCAGCAGAAATTATCCCCATTTCCATATTTGTCAAAACACCAATTTTTTGGGTAATCCTGGGAACAAAGAGAAGTGAAAAGAGAAGTAAAAAGTAATGCCATAAGATTTTTTTAAATCTTGTTATTTGCTGTAAGATTTTTAAAAAAAAAAACCCAACCAATTTTCTGTGCATTAGCTTTTCAAAGGAATACATAAGACCATGAAGTATTCCTGCTCTTAGAATGATTAGGAGGTTGTGTAATGTTATACTTTAGCTGAACCTAAGAGGAATGTGAGTTAAAAGATGGATCCCATATAGTGTTTTTTTTTAATGGTAAATATTTTCTCTTTTATAGAGTCAGAGTTAGTCCACAGAATTGTCAGCAGCCAGCTCTGCTCATGTGACACCATCAGCCCCATCTTCCCCATCAGCCCCAAAGCTGCTTTTAAGAAATCACACTTGCTGGCGAACAAGATGAATTTTGTCAAAGGTGGTGGCACTGCAATTAAGAAGCAAGGAGGAACAGCTAATGACAGATGGAAAGATAACTCATACAGGTTAGGGAAGGAGGGTGCAGACATCAGCCTCAAAAATAACACCATGCATCCTCTTTACAGGCAAAGAAGGGGAGAACAGCAGTCAGAAAGTGGAGTAACAGAAGGAAGAGGAGGAAAGAGAAAATAAGAGACAAGCAGCAGCACACAAGACAGGAGCTTTCAGGGCACAGATCTCAGGTCTGACAGCTTTCCCCAGCTGTCTGGAAACATTTAAAGTATCCCTGAACCTCAGTGGAGAGGGAAACATACAGCTTCCCTTCCCGCCCAAAGATTTTTGCACACGTTCTCTTGGGTGGAGTAACAGAACTATTGGCACCACCCACAGTATTTTTGTTATTGTCACTCCTTTCTCTTATTTTTTCTATACAGTCCTCCAAGAGGTATTTTTCTGAAGGACTACAAAAAGGGTCAGTGGCTCCTATATGCAGTGGAGGCTCAACACTTTGAGGTACAAATAAAAGGATCAAAGTTGTCTTTCATCTGGGGCACCTGTCCCTGTGCAGTCTGTTTTTCAGTCTCTGGGACATCTGCTGTAACTACCTGCTTATTCATAGTATGTATAGCACTGAGATAACATTCACAAGTGAAGCCACCATTAATTATCAGACCTCAGAGGTTTTGTTTGTTTTTCATTTCAGCTTACAAACATTTCCATGAAAGTGGTTCATAGGTGGCTACCACTATGCAAAGTACCATGGTGTAGTGGTAATTAAGACATGATGTATCATTTAGAGAAGACTAATTCTGTTCAAGATATGCACATGCTTTGACTGCATATGATTTGACAATCAGACCAACTGACATCAGTTGCTCAGTTTTCTGATTTTTAGAAGAATTTTATAACCAAAGGGCGAGAAAGTCAACCTATGTCTTCAGAATGCATTTTTGTAAAGGCATACTATAAATTAAGAACATTCAAGTAAGTTGATAAAAAAAATAGAAGAGCATTCTTTTGCAGAGATTTCAGGAATTAGCTGAATATACAACTTTTAGAGGTGCTTCAGTCCAGATGAACCTCTTGGAACGAGGGGCTGAATTAGATGGGAGAAATAACTCATCCATACATGACTACCACATGAACACTTGTTATATAAAAATTACTGCAACAACACATCCTTAGCAGTAATAATGTGAAGTTAGGGATAGACAACGTTTGTTAACTCTGTTCTGTTTTTCTGCAGGTTGTTCGGTTTCTTTTGTTCAGTGATCAGCTCACTGCTGGAATCAAAAATAATCTGGGTTCAGATCAGTAAGTCACACATTGCATTATGACTGGACAAATCTTAAGACAGAGTTTAAACACTACACTTTACAGGAAGCAAAGAACTGAATAAATATTGTCACCTTGATCTTTGCCATCCACTCTTTTCCTCTTCAGATTTTGAATTGGATTTTGCTGTTCTTTCAAGGCTTCTGCGGGGCAATTGGGTCTTGGCAACTGGTTTCCAGGAGTCGGTGCTGGTCGATTACTAAAATAATTATGTTTCAGTGCCTTAAAGAGGATAGAATGAGTGACAGCCTTAGGTCATAACTTTCAATTTATATGATCTGTACTTAATATGTTTATTGTCTTGTTAGTAGTTATGTGGGGGGACACATATATAGTACAGGTGACAGGAGTCCTCATGTTTTTTTCTCTTAAAATACTTAATTTGTATTTTGATCTTAGAGGTAGGTATATTCAGAGTTTTGTACATGCTTATAGCAAGGATATGCTTGAAAGAATGCGGTCAGTGGCTGAATAAGAGATTCAGTGACAGAGGGTGGGAATTCATAATCCTTTATCTCTTGCAATTAACAAACCAGAATAAATTATGCAAAATAACAAGAACAGGAATTATGCAATGAGTGAGTACACAGAATATGCTAAGCCACCTGTGCATTGTGAGTTGCTCGCAGAAACACCCATGATGTGTCCAACAGATGACTGGACTCACCACTGGTTCTTCTCCCTGTCTCTCACCTCCTAACTTCCACCTGATATTCTAGTGCCCTGTGTGGAATAACCTGTCTTGCCTCTCTCTCCATGCTGTGATTGCTACCTCTTTTCATTCGCTACCATTAAGAAAAATCCTGAGCACAGCTGGATTCATGAATTTTCAATTGTTTTCAGCCACAGAAAATGGCACAGGTGTGTTTGTTACAGTTGAACTTTTGGAGGTGTACAAGCACATACATAACAGCTGTTTGAAACCTAGCCTTGCCTGGTCACTGTCACTGTAAGGTCACTTTCACTGTAAGTTTCAGCTGTCAAAGGGGGCTAAGTGCAGTTGGTAACACAGATGAAAACTGACAAGGTGAGACTGTATATAGATTAATCTGGGCACAGTTACAAAGCTGTCGATTAAATCACCAGTAAAGGGTGGGGAAGATGGGCAGGTAACAGGAGATACTAGTGCATTAAAAAGGGGCTGAAAACATGATCTTTGCCTTAGCAATGTACCTCTTTATTTTTATTTCAGGTGCTGAGCTGATAGTTGTCAGTGCTCTTCAGCTATTGCACAAAGGGTTGAGTATTAACTCCCCCACC